GTTTCTTAATTATTTGAAGTTTGTCACCAATTTCAATGTGTTCTTCTTTCTTCACACAACAAGTTTATCTACTTTTGGGAGCCATTATTATGGGCTTGTACAGTACTCTGTAAATGGAAAGAGTAGGACTCAAAATATTGTTATATTACAATGGTATTCTATTCATACTGTGCTTGATATAATGCATTCACGGAAATGTAATATTTTTGCTGAACATAATTACAGTGAAAGTGGATAAAATCGTGATGAAAAACAATGACTCGCTTTCGTTCTCAAAATATGTTACCGTAATCGCTTTTCAATGGTTTTCAGTTAAAAACTGTTGTATTACAATAATATTCTATCCTAATTGACTTGAATAAATACTACGATACCATATTTATGAATATTTTCATTAAAATCCATCAAAATCATTTTCCTTGTCATCGCCTGCAGCACCAAACAGCTTCTCCCAGTCCTCTCTTTGAACAGGGCTAGAGGGTACGGTTTTTTCGAATCGTTTCAGTTAAAAACTATTACATCACTCGTCTATTTTACCTAAACTGCCTCGAATGAATATATTCTCGAGATAAATAGTAGTTTTGTGGAAACGTGACGTATTTCAATGTAAAATAGATAAAATACATGACGAACAAAAACAAAAGACTTTACCTAAGCTTCCGATGTTCTGAGACGCTACTCGTTTTTTAATAGTTTTTGGTTAAAATTTGATATATTACAATGATATTCTATTCATACTGTGCTTGATATAATACATTCACGGAAATGTAATATTTTTCCTGAAATTACATACTTATACAGTGGAAAGTGGATAAAATCATGATGAAAACAATGACTTTCGCTGTTCAAAAGATGTTACCGTAACGTCAATGGTTTAGCTTTAAAAACTGTTGTATTTCAATAATTCCTCCTAATTGACTTGAATAAATACTTGAATGGAAATATACAATATTTTTGGTGAAATTACCCGGTTTCAGTAAAGTGTCGTAATAATAAATGGTAAACAATTTGCCTTCAGCACTTGTTTCATGTAACGGCGAGCCTCAGTTTATAGGACGAGAGCGAGGGTTTTGTCGTTCCATTACCCTCAAAACTATTTATTACTAAAGGTAAATATTCTGTGGTTTTCCCACACATCTGGTGGGAACTGGTTGGTGGGGGGTGGGGGGTGGGGGGGAGGGAAGGGACCGACCGAGCTGTCTGTTAGTGTGAAGAATATATTTTTTTTTAGCCTTTGAAGATATTTGTTTTAACTCATAAATTCATACAAATTACCCGGTCAGAATATAATTTACGTGCTGGAATTCTACTCAATTGATGATCTCATTTGAATATAAACATCATGAATTTTGCATTGAACCTCTAAATTTTAGATGTAATGTTTATTCTGAGTAAATATGTTATCTTTTGTGCAAAATATATGACATTTATATTCAAAATATTCCTGGACTTACAAGAGATCAGCAATGTCAATTATATTATCTAACTTTTAATCTGAGGTATTATTTAATACTAAATGTTAGAATTTAGTTTTTCACCCAACATCTCTTGAAGGAGGATTGGTGGGGGTGGGGGGGGGAGGGTTGGACTGACCGTGCGGTTGGAAAGAGGCAAGGTGGGGTACTCACAGTTGACGAATGAGTGTCGTGAAGAATATTTTTTTTTATTAACTGAAGATATTTGTTTAGCTCATAAATTCGCCCTGAAATTACCCGGCCAGAATATAATTTACATTGCTGGAATTCTTACAATTTGGTGATCATTTTGAATAAAAAACATCATAGATTTTTGCATTAGACATACAAATTTTAGATATAATGTTTGCTCTGAGTAAATATGTTATCTTTTATTATAAAAATATATGACATTTATATTCAAAAATATTCACAATCTTACAAGGAGTCAGCAATGTCGAATTGTGATATCTACTAACTAGTTGGTATTATTTATTAAAAATTTAGTGGTTTTTCCCCAAGAATTTCTCCAGAGGGAAGAACCAGCGGTGTTGTGTGAGAAGAGGGGAGAGTTGAGTCCATTATTTGAATGGACGTGCTTAGCGACTGTATTTCTCTATTTCTCTTAAATTGATAATTGTGCATGTGCCATCATAAAATTAGATGTTATTTTTTACTAAGAACATAGGTATTGTGTCGGGAAAAAGTGGAGTTTGAGGGATGGGCCAGTTTCTGTGGAATTAATCCATATGTTCTGTTGTTCACTTATGCAGTTTTCACTTAACACGGTGTTACCTGTGGGTTTTATTGACGGCGTTAAGCGGGGTACTACTGTAAGAAAAAAAAAGTGATGTGAGCAGTGTTGATCGCTATCATTGTTTTTATGTTATCATCGTTTGCTCTGGTATTGTGACAAGCAATTTTGCTTTGTTTTTGTGACTGAAGTGAGCAGTGGAACATAGAAAATGTCTGGGAAGGCCAAGACAACCATGTCTCTGAGGTGAAGCTTGACATTGTTAAGCAGCATGAGACTCCTCAGAGGCTGTGTAGGACTCAGACTGACGTCTTCACTCCTCCTACAAGAGTGCCCTTGGCCTCGAAGGGGACATTTGATGACCAGACTTATTCTTCAGGATGTGGTGAGTGGTGTTAAATTGTTTTCTATTAATTTTATAAGTGTAGGATTTTTTGTCGGTGTTACACAAGTGTTTGGGGACTGGCTGGGAACGTATCTCATTGAATCCCATGTTATAAATTTATGCTCCTTATCTATGATATTTCACTTAGCCACGGTTTTTTCAGGAACCTAACCCCTTTGTTTTATCAGGATTTACATGTGACTATATTTTCATCCTTTTGGCTGCCATGCTCTTTCAATAAACTGTTATTATTATTACTATTTTTATTATGAACATCATCATCATCATCATCATCATCATCATCATCATCATCATCATCATCATCTGAGCAGTTTGAATATTCAGAAAAAGAACGCTACTTTTCTCATCGACTATACCGTGTTGTCCATGAGGGAGAGAAAGGTCCTAAGGAATTTTTGCTACACTGCTTGTCATGTGCAATGAAGTACTCTTGTTACTTTAGTAGTCTCTGAAGCGCAGTTTGTAATGGTATATGTGTCATACAGTGAGTTCTGCTATAACGCGTGTTTTGACAATGCGAATTTGCTCGAACGCGATTTATGAATTGAGGAACGATATTTGTAAAACGCGAACTCGTTTGCTCTAACGCGATTCCACTCGAACGGTTGTTGTGGCTTCAGTTCACGTTCGACATCACATGTTCAATTGAGTTATGTGTTTTGTTTGTGAACAATTGCAGAAATAATGTATGTAATATTTGTGTATACAGTATACCTATATATTATAAGTAAATTGTAAAATTTTACATAAAAGAGAAAACCAAATTACATAGCGTTTTACTCCCGCGCTCTCTCTACATCACACACAGTGTTTACAGTTCACGTTCGACATCACATATTCAATTGATTTATGTGTTTTGTTTGTGAAGAATTGCAGAAATAATTTATGTAATATTCATGTATACAGTAAACCACTCACAAGGTCCTACAGTACCACTAATTATTTTATACTGAAACTTACGTTTGGTAAGCTGGATTAAAATGAAGATTACCGGTATATTAAAATAATAAAAATGTATTATAAACCAGTCTAACATACCGTAATAAAAACAGCTGCTATTATCATCCCCCCCACCCCCATTTGCCAGTGACAAGAAAGGGAAAGTGACCTTGACTGTGACCGCCTGTGGCTATTTTTAGCCGTCCTTGTGTTCGGAGGCGGTCAGTAATGCATATCTGTATATTTACTGATCATAATACTTATCTCTTATAAATAATTCATTTAAAATTTATTTTTTTGCAAAGAATATTCAGTAAATGACTGCATTAATTCTTGAAACTACCTACAGCGGTAAATTTAGGATATAAATAATGAACAGAAGTCGCGTCATGGATTCGGAGTTTGGTCCTTAACAATCACCATAAATGTAGCCTCCCTTTGTCGCAAAACACGTATATAAATTAAAGAAAATACTTGCATTATATTTAATATATTACAGTATATTATATATAAATAAATAAACAAATAAATTCAAATTCCCTTATCATCCTGTGTCATATACAGAAATACTTGAGTCCCTGAGCGAGTACACAAAAAGAAAACGGAGGACTAGGACATCCTGGAGTGGATAGAGAACGGACATCTCTACTGGGGGACTCAAACGTTTCTCATGTTTTGTGGGCGCTCTAGCATAATATGAATAATATGTAAATTACAGTTTACTTATACAGGTATATATATGTAAATTGTAAAAATTTAAATAAAAGAAAAACTAAATACGTAGCGCTTAAAGTGTACTGTACAGTACAGTGCTGTGGCTTGGAGCGGGGTTATGCAGTGTTTACAGTTCACGTTCGACATCACTTGTTCAATTGATTTATGTGTTTTGTTTGTGAAGAATTGCAGAAATAATTTATGTAATATTTATGTATACAGTATACCTGTACAGTATATGTAAAATGTAAAATTTTAAATAAGAGAAAAACAAAATACATAGCGTTATAGACCCGCGCGCTCTGTTTACTCCACACTTTGTTTGAAACACGTGAAGTTTTTAAGTGTCCTCAGTGAATTCTGATTACTGTTTCTCCAATTTTGTGACTATGGAAAGGAAGAATATCTCTGGGAAGCACTCTGGTGATCGCATTTCCGGTGGTGATCGTAAAAGAAAGGCTATAACACTTGAAGAAGAGCTTGATGTTTCATGACTCCTCAGCCTCAACATCACCCTTCTCCCCCATCAAGTTATATTCATATTTTTTCAAGGTAAAGTGTAACATTTACTGTATGATTTCATTATTAGATATGAATGTAACATTTATTTAGACTGTGCTATCCTTTGTGTTAGGCTAACTACGAAATTTTTTTTCAATTTGGAGTAATCTGCACCTAACCCTATTTTCTCCATAAGCCCTGTTATTTCTATTACACGAATTTCTATAACACGATGTTTTACAAGAACACTACTATCGCGTTATAGCAGAACTACCTGTACTCAAGAGTTTTGTGTTTAATTTGAATATTAATATAGGATTTTAGATATTGATAAATTTTAAAACCATATTCTTTAGTAAGGCTGATTAATATGTGAACTTATATAACTTGCATTCCAGGTGGTTACTCTGGTGGGGAAAATGGAGCGGTTGCGCGGGTCTTCTTTACAACCAGGGATACATCGTTCTATTGCTGTCTGGCTCGAAGCAGTTACCAACGTCCAAGAGAAACGGCGAGATGAAGTAGTGAATGCAATTACCCAGCGTCATAATCCACTCCCTAATGCTCATCACACTAGTGAACAAGGTGATTTACAATCATAGTGAGGGATAATTTCAATTTATTTGTTATTATATCTACAGTAAATCAATAAGCAGGGCAGTGTGGTACATACAGGTATATACAGGTTGTACCTCTCTAGTCCGGCAACCTCGGGACCTGACCGGTGCCAGACTATGGAAATTCACCCTGGAAACACCCTACATAAAGCATAAAAACATAAGATAGGAAATAAATAAATAAGAAAAAGTAATACTTCTCACACAAGCTCCGTACCGATGCACCTTTATCTAATTTCTGTAATAGTTCAACCTTTTCCTGGATCGATAGTGACTTGTGCTTACGCTTGGAAGCACGAGCACCACTTTCACTGCTTCGTGGTCTCTTTGAAGACATATTGAAGGGTTAAATGTTGTATTCTGTTTTGACAAACAGAGCGAGAGAGCCGCGTAGCGGCTATTGGGGCAAACTAAAATCGTTCCGGACCACAGAATGCCGGACTAGAGAGGTACAACCTGTACTTCATTTTTAGTGAGAGTTTTGTGTTGCGGAGAAGAAAAAGACACACCCGTTTTAGATTTTCCATGTATTATTTAAACATTTTTTACTTACGACCTGGATTTGGGTCCCTAACCCCGTCGTAAGTCGTGAATCATGTATTTTTGTGGTCAATAAAATATCTATCTATCTATCTAGGGGTGTATGTGTGATGTATAGGTGGTGTTGGTGTGTTGACGGAGGTGAATCTTTTAGGGGGGTAGGGTCGCATGGTCAGTCCCCACCCCCTCACCCCTTCCTAGCTCAGGTGTGGCTAATTGTGATAGGAAGATGAATTTTGTACCGTAATGATGCTTAATAAATTCTCTATCAAACATTTCCACTAAGATATCCTTAAACAAAATATATACAGTCATGTGCCGCTTAACGTGCTAGATACGTTCTTAGAAACGTGACGTTAACCGAAATGGACGTTGTCCGATCATCACATAAACTTTGTATTTATACTTACGTGTATGTGGACTACTATATACATACATATACACTTTTACTCCTAAATCACTACTGTAATGTGATACAGGTGATTAATTTTTATCTCTTGTGCAAAATACATGACATATATATTAAAATTATTCACTGTCTTACAAGGATTCCAGCAACGCCGGGCAGATGGGGGAGAGAGAGGGTGGGAGCGAGCGAGGGGGCGTGGAGGGAGGGGATATAGTACGTTTGACAGTTGGCACACGCCCAGGTCTAACGCGTGTATATTTATCAGTTCTTAGGTGACTAAGCTTCTCTCTTATAAAAAGCCAGTAAAATGACCTGGGTGAATATAATTAACATAGCTGGGATTCTTGTAACATACTGATTAATTTGAATATAAACATGCTATAATTTGCACTAGACAAAACAATTTTAGTACCGTAATCAAATTAGTACATGTGCACTCCAGTTTTGCACTAAGGTCATATTTTTCTATTACGTTTCTTTTAGTATGGTGTGTGCATGTAAATGGATGAAAATAAATGAAGAAATCTATGTAAATATACCCAAAAATACAGTTGAAAAACTTTTTTTATAAAATGTACTACAGTACTGTACACTAATGTACAATTTTTATCTCTTGAGCAAAATATATGACGTTTATATTCAAATTATTGGCTGTCTTGCAAGGATTTCAGCAATGCAAATTATATTATCCTAACTTTAGTCTGAGATATTATATAAAATAACATAAAGAAATCACCAATCTTTTATCTGGGAACACAAGGAGGGAGGTAGCGTGTGGGAAGAGGGGGGGAACGGGGTAGTGGGGGGAGGTGAGGTGACAGAATGTCTGGCGTTTGTTTGTTTATTTAAGATAAGATGTGACAGTTGGCGCTGAAGGCCTACGTGTTTATTTATCATAACTTAAGAGTGACTAAGCTCTTCTCATAATTTGCCACACAAACGACCTGGGTGAATATAACTTACATTGGAGGGATTCTTGTAAGATAGTAATTTATTTGAATACCTGTATAAACAAGCTATATTTGCAATAGACATAACAATTTTAGTACCATAATCATTTAGTACATGTACAATACAGGTTTGCACTTAGGTCCATTGTTACTGTACAATATTGACTAAATTCACTAGATAACGTACGCCTGGCAGCACAATCTATAAGAATACGCGATGCATACGTGACTGTGCCCGCTCTAGGGCCATTTAGGTTCGCTAGGTCCCATTATTTGAATGTATTTTTTTTTTTTTTTTTCAATTTAAATTTTAATGTTTTATTCCTTGATAGAGGAAGCGGGATCCTAGTGCTGTCACTTGGTACCCCTGTACCATAACACCAGGCAGCTACCTGCCAGTGTCACAAGTATATACGGTACAGTACAGTCATCCCTTGGTTATCGCGCCTAATTGGGACCCCACGATGTAAAGTATACAGAACCTATGGGATTTATTCTAATTGGTTATTTACCCAAGACCCAACCCTAAGTTTCCCATTTTACAACCATTTATACCCACTAAATATATATATAATGTTATGGTAAATATCATACACACATAGGCATGGCTAGGTTTATTACAAAGTGATGAAAGAATGCGCTTAATACTGTAGTCCACAAAACATGTAGCTATGCTTTTTTATTTGGTCCCCCGTCATACGAGTCCGTTTTCTCTCTCACATCAGGACGCCTGAGTCCTCCGTTTTCTCTCTTAATCTTAGAGTGCAGAAACTTCACTATTCTTAGTAATGCCACAGAATTTGAAATTGCAACCCCAATTTCAACTGGGGTTGCCAATTGCTGAGGCAACTAGATATGTCTGATTACAGCAAATGTGTTATTGTCAATTTGTAGGTGAATTTTATCCTCAATAGATATAGGTTAACATTACTCCTGAGGCAAAAAGCCCTAAGGAAGGAAGCATATTCCTTTAACACATAATATCTGACCAGTATGGGGAGATCATCATTTCTCCGTCGGGGGTCATGGAGGTGTGGTCCAGCAGGCGTCAGGTTTTTGGGGTGAGGGTGGGCGGACGTATATGCGATTGGACGTTGTTGGATCGGACGTTAACAAGTGATGACTATATATATATATATATATATATATATATATATATATATATATATATATATATATACACAGTTGTACCCATAGCGGTCAATAAAACCCAGAGGGTACCGTGTTAAGTGACCTAGATTAAGTGAACAACAGAACATATGGGATTAATTCAATAGAAACGGAACCCAACCCAAACTCCAGTTTTGACGACACATAACTATGTTGTAGTAAAAATAACATCTTGATTTTATGATGGTACATGCACCAATTATACTTAAGAGAAATAGAGAAATACAGTCGCCAAGTTAATGTCCATTCAAATAATGGACTCAACTCCTCCCCTCTTCTCACACTACACTGCTGGCTCTTCGTCTCTGAGAAATTTTTGGGGAAAACCACTAAATTTTAATAAATAATACCTCAAACTAAAGTTAGGATAATACAATTGACATTGCTGGATTCCTTTAAGACCAGGAATATTTTGAATATAAATGTCATTTTGCACAAAAGATAACACATTTACTCAGAAAACATTTTATCTAAAATTTGTATGTCTAATGCAAAATATATGATGTTTATATTCAAATGATCTTGTAAGAATTCCAGCAATGTAAATTATATTCTGGCCGGTAATTTGTATGAATTTTATGAGCTAAAACAAATATCTCCAGTTAATAAAAAAAAAAATATTCTTCACAGGGTAACAGATGGTGGTTCCCCCACAACGTCCCAAGGAGATGTGTGGGAAAACCAGAATATTTAACTTTTTATTAAAATAATACCTCAAACTAAAGTTGAGATAATATAATTGACATTGCTGGATTCTTGTAAGACCAGGAATATTTTGAATACAAATGTCATATATTTTGCACAAAAAATAACATATTTACTCAGAGTAAACATTATATCTAAAATTTGTATGTCTAATGCAAAATCTATGATGTTTATATTCAAAATGATCATCATATTGTAGAATTCCAGCAATGTAAATTATATTCTGTGGGTAATTTGTATATATTTTATGAGCTAAAACAGGCAGTCAGGCAGGGTGGCGGGTGGGGCAAATCTAAAAATAGCGTCTCGGGCGGACACTCACCGCGTATACGTGAAAAACCAGCGTTAAGTGAAAGTTCAGCTCTGGCGAGCACAGCGTATCACGGTAAACGCTATGTAAAACAGCGTTAGGCGGTAATACTGATATATATATATATATATATATATATATATATATATATATATATATATATATATATATATATATATATATATATATAAACTTGACTGGAAGGCCCATGTAAGTAACACAGTCAAGGCAGCCTTGTACCATCTCTACATGCTTCGACGACTTAGGTCACTTGGGACACCGCCAGAACTGAGGACTATCTACAAGCGTTTATTCTCCCCAAACTAATGTGCGTCACCAGCCTGGTGCGTCTTCTCTCAACTCCACCCAACAGCGTCGGCTAGAAAGGTACAGAAAAGGGCCTGCAGAATCATGCTCGGCGCAGAATACTCCAGCTACAGCAATGCTCTCTCCACCCTGGAAATGCCATCCTCAGTGACCTCCACCACCAAGCACTGGAAGGTTTGGCAGCCAACTAATGCACCACCCTCGTCATCGCCCCACATGCCACCGGCGATCCCTCACCCACCTGCGCGGTCGCCACTAAAACAAAATTCAGCCCATAAGAGCCACGCACCCGATAGATAAAAGAATAGCACCATCCCATCTATTGTTAAAATAATCAACAACTCTGATTTATGTACTGTACAGCCCTGTAAATGTATTCAGCATATTATATCATTATATCTAAATCAAATGTAAGTTAATATTTTCAGCCACTGGCTGCAACTCCTTAATAAACCGTTTATTATTATTATTACAGTCGACCCTCGTTACTTAGGACTAATAGTGAAGGGTGTCCGTTTAACGATTGTCCAGATAACCGATTTAGGGTTAATATTGCA